CCTTCCGAGTCTTACCAATCCATTCAGTTGCCAACTGGGCTGTTGCCCCACTTCACCCCTCTCTTCACCGACCTCACCAACAGCTGCACGTCTTCCGAACGTGGCGCACCCGCTGCGGAATTCGGGCGCCCCGGCGTTCACGATGGATCTCCGGTCCTGGTAAGAAGGGGCGGGGCAGCGTGGTGCTGTCCCAGCGAAAGCCCCACCGTGCCCCACCACCTCCAGTCGCACCTCCTCAGGTTCGGTATGACTGGACCCTCCTGGCACCCACCCCACACACCTTCTCAGAAGGTACGACCGAGGCAAAAGGAGTGACATGCTCCTAGTAGTATGGCCAAGAGCCACGATCGTAGCTTCTTGCTACTCGTAGCGATCCCCTTTGTTCCGTTCGTAGCACATGGCAAAGGAATTCGAGTCTACCAGGAACGAGCTGCCAAGGTCCGGCGGTTTTTGGACACCCCGGTTCCTCAGCTCTTTACCAGGCTATGGACATCGACACCTCGAATGGAAGGTCATGGTATGAAGCATGGAATTGGGGTTCAAGACGCGGCCACGCGACAAGAACGGTTGGATCATTAGCGATAGATCCTTGGGTGGGGGCTGGACACACACCTTCGTCGAAGCATTGGGAGAGCTAGGCAGTTGTGAAGTTGCTTATCATATCCAACCAAGTCTTTCTACCCTCTACAACAAGGACTTCTACTAGAAATGGATTCTAGAGCCATCTAACCTGGCGATGACCTCCATCTCCACCTGACCATGCGTGATGCTCTGCAAACATGTGACATGTGACTTCGTCCATGGCCAGGCGACATCCGGCCTGCCTGTGAAAAAAGCCAGCTTTCGATCTTTCGTCACCACATACACACAAGGATCACGGTGATTACCAGAATTACAATTCATATATCAATTCATATATCAATTCATATATCAATTCATATATCAATTCATCATCATCATCATCATCATCATCATCATCTCCGCCAAAGCATGATCCTCATGTCACTGATTTCTCCCACACCTGCACTTCCGCTGGCAGGGCCGCCACCTCCGCACTGTGGAGCCTCGTGTCATCAGTCGAAGCCGCCGGCCGCCACGGTTTCTGACCCGACTCAGTCAGGGTGGTGGTTCTGGTTCTGGTTCTCAGTGCAGATTTGAAACCTGGATCTGAACCCAACACCCTGATCGGCGGGTTATACTTGGAATCCAAGGACCGGTCGTTCGACCAGGTCGGTCGAGGATCAACGACGAGCCGAGGCTCTTCGTTCCACCGTTCGTCGCGAAGCTTCGTTCCCTTATTAGGCCAACCGGTGGAGACCCCTGACGCTTTCGAGGTTCGATATCCCTCCATTGGAACCCTGAGAAGGAAGACCTTGTGCTTTTGACCACTCTTCTTCTACAAGCTGCTTTGGGGCAAACCGATGTTCGTCTGCAGAGTCGTCTACCACCATTTCACTTGGTGTTCTTCTTCTCTTCCGTTCCCCCCCTCTAATCAGGAGCCGTGGGTTTCTGGAGGATCGGAAGAGACACGTCGGGTGGGGTCGTTGGGTCGTTAGGAGCGCTTCATTGGTCCTGATGGACACCTGTTACCAGTGGGGCGGTCCAACATGGTCATTTTCTCTGACATCTGTCGCGACTGGTCATGCGACCGGTGGTACTGTCGTGACAGTCTCGGACTGGTCAAGGGAAGAGTAGGGGACCAAACCCATTGGATGCCTCTCACGAGTCAATTTTCCAGCCCAGATTTCGCTTGGAGACACCAAGTCTCAACCGGCTCGGTGCTTTTCCAGACCTTTACGGCTTTGGAGACCCTCTTCCTCGGTGTTTTCTAGTAACCCCAGGGATCCTCCATAGCAGGAGTCCGTACCCTCAAAACTGTATTCGAGGGCCGGATTATTAGGGAAGTACCAATCAGCCATTCAACCTGCACAAACAATTCTCCACTTGGTGTACGTGACCGGCTGTGCTGCATGTGCTGCATGCGATGCATCGCGGCAGCATGTGCTGCGTCCTGTTTCTTCTCGCGAGTGGAATGGATGAAGCAGTAGATGTCTCTATTGCTTTTTGATCTCTATTGCTTTGGATCTGGCCGGGACAGAGTCTGGGTGACCCAAAAAAAACGCACAAAAAACCCAACAAAAAAGAGGGAGAAGCACCCCTGGGCTCATGTAGGCACTAGTTCATTTGGGCCTTTGGAAGATTTCTTTTTTCCGATGTCCAACTCACCCAAACATCTGATGGCACAGCCATGGTCAATGGTGGACCGAACGCGGTTTGACAAACGATGGTCCCAAGATCGTCCCATGGCAAATTCCTGTGCTTGCATGCGCTCTCTCAAATTAAGCCACCTGCGATCTCTACGGACTTGAAACAGCGACGTGGCTACCTGCAAGTTGTGCTGGTCGCTGCATCGAGGGCCGGACGCGCAGGTTAGGGCGACGCATCCGAACGAAACCCGTTCGAGTGCACTCCGGGCTTACTGTTATGTCGTCCCACGTGGCCGGCAGAGCCAAACGGGGACGTACGCACCTGCCAACGACCCACCAGGCTCCACACGAGCGGCGACTTCCGCCAAATCCTACGAGCTGACTCGTGAAAGGCAAGGCTGGTGGCCAATGATGTCCGTCCAAACCTCGCGTTCTTAGTGGAGCCCAAACTGCTTCGACCTTCTGCTGACCTTAGACCTCTAGACACACTGTTTGGGGTCTTGCCGGCATATGTCTTCCGTTTTTATCTTTAAATATAGCTTTTATCCAGCAGCTACACCTGCTGGAGATGCCTTGAGAGCAGGTAGTTCGGTGCTGGGTATAGGGACGCCCAGGACAGCATTCGAGGACCCATGGGACTACACGACTTGTGGGACTGGTAGATTTACCTACATTCACCCCTTTTGAACCACCCCAAATATATCAGTGACAAGTCGTGTCTGGGATAGATATCACGAGTCTAAAAGCATGGAGCTTATGAAAAGGGAATTGAATGAAAGGTAAGCTCCTGGGTGGACTGGCAGCGAGTCTACGTGAGCCATCCCGATTTCATCGGTGGTCGTGTGTTGAAACGTCATGCCGAACATGTTTTGGTTCATCTGGAGGATTGGAAGTCTCCGAGTGGACTGCCAGCCATGGCCACATGTTTTCACAAGCTTTCATACAAAAACCAGTTCGCAAGGCAAAGAACTTGCAATATCTTACACTCCCTTGTCCGATAGTAGGTTGGAGGCCATCGCCCCTAGCTTGGAGGCCATCGCAAGTGGGTTGGAGGCCATTACTACTAGGAGCAAGGACGCTACCAAAGAACCTGCAATCCCTTGTCAGCCTCTATTCACCCTGGTCGATCCTGGTGAGTCATGAAGGATTTCGCTCTCACCAATGAGCAAAGATCTCTGGGATGGCGGTTTCAGTGGGATCAATGATCTCAAGCTTCGGTTGAAGATAACAACATCCAACACCACCCAGAAATGCTCCAAACGATTCCGCTTGGCTTCAAGCCAAACGCTTCAAACAGATCGATCACGCAGTATTTTGGCTCCAAGGCAAACAGGCCACGCGACCGAAGAGGAAGAATCGAAGCTATCACCAATTGTTACTAGTAACTTCTTAATGGCCTCCATAACTAATAGCGATGGCCTCCACCTAGCAGTTTCTTGGCGGCTTCTTGTTACTAGTAGTAATGGCCTCCAACCTAATAGCGATGGCCTCCACCTAGTAGCTTCTTGTCACTAGTAAGTTACTGAGAGTGTTTGACATCTGTGTGGGTCACACCTGGAGCCCCTGGGATGCTGGTGGTTCACATCCTTATACAGTAGAAGAATCTGTTCATTTGAGCCAGGAGTTAATCAGGACCCTAAAAGCTTCTTGTTCCTAGTAGTAAGGCCAGGAGCCCCTAGTAGCGTCCTTGCTCCGTTCGTAGCGATGCCCTTTGCTCCTAGGTCCTAGTAGCGTCCTTGCTCCTAGCGATGCCAGGAGCCCCTAGAAGCTTCATTTGATGTGCTGTCAACCACGGTTACGGGGTCTGGCCGTAGAGCGCTTCAGTTTTGAAGCTGACTTCGCAATCTGTGCTGGAGTAATCACAGTGATCACTGAGTGATCACAGTACCTGGTCTGTGCTAAATTAAGCACTGTGCTAAATCAAGCACTGTATCTCCATCTATCAAACAACCCATCCAACAGTCCACTACAAGGACCATTGAAGCCGCCGCGCTGTGGGACTCGGTCCTTGGTTCAAACGAACTCATCACGTCTGTGGGGTGGGTCAAAGTGTGCGACAACCGCGTAGCAAGAGGTGTCTATGTCCATAGCCTCTTAGAAGTTAAGGTGTGTCCAAAAACAACTTGTTGGAAGGTTGGTAGGCCTTTCTTTGAAGACAAACATGTCGCATCGAGTGTTCCAACTCGTGAACCTGCTCAGAATCCTTACTTGGCCCCCCAAAACACACGCACACACACACAGAAGACACAATTCAGCCAGGCCCAGTGATTAGCCCATTGCCAGATGTGTCATCCGCCTTAGTTCGTCCTCCATAGACTCTGCGAAGACAACAAAAAGGCACAAGGGTGAGTGGTTTGACCATGTGCACACCATACCGAATGCAAACTCTTGATAAATAACTGCCTTCAGAATTCAACAGCCTCTGAACTAAATTGGGGGTTTCATCCGTCTACATGAATTCCTTCGTCCATCCCCTCACAGCGACGCTTGCCTCGACATCACAGATCACTTAGACCCGTCTTTGAGCTCCATGACATTCCATGACCCGTCGTTTGGCTGTCCTCCGACTGCGATCCGTTCTTTCGTTGTTCCGAACTGAGCGAACGTGGGGGTGTCACCAACGAGGTCGGCCGCCGCTGGACCCGAAGTTCGGGTGGCCTGGCGCTGAAGGGACGGGCGGGTGACCATTGACTTCCTGGGTACCTGCGACCTACAGCCCGCCAGGACGGTCCCTGGGTTGGTTGTCCGTCCCTTCACTCCATCATTCGTTGCGAAGGGGCACGAGGAACGACCTCACATCCAGAAGATCAGCTTGTTCTCCTTCACCTGAAAGAAAAGCTCCTGCCATCCGCTTTTTTCAGGCAAACGACGCCAAACATCATATCTCGTCTGTGAAACCAAAGCATCAAAGGGGCGCAACAAAAAAGGGTGAGGTCTTCACCCTTCCTGGAAGCTGCAACCACACGTGTTCGCCTTCCTACCAAAAGTGGTTTAGGGGTTCTTGACTACTCGACATGTCTTAGCAGGTGCGAAAACAACCAAAAAACACCGCCGCTTCCTCTGCATTCTTCGCCGGTGTTTGCACCGTCCACCGTCTCCTGAGGTATGACCTGCCAATTCTGCTGCCAACGCTGGACGGGAAGATGCCAATCCTGCGCAGGTTGCGAAGGGGCGCGTGGAATCGGGGCAGCGAAGCAGGAGGTTTGATTCTCATTAAATTCTAATTGAAGATATTCTTTCTACTAGCTTCTTGTTACTACTAGTAAGGCACTTGTTACGAACGTAGCGATGCCCTTTGTTCCGAACGTTCTTGAACCTTGTTCCGGCTGCGAGGTTGCGTGGTTCGACATGGCCCAGACGTTCGGAACTGGTTTTCATATACCAGGACCAGCTAGCTATCGTTGTTGAATGACAAATACAGCTATCGTTGGGGAGCTTCTTTGGGTGCTGGTAGACTGCATATGGAAACTCTCAAACGATCCATGGTGGCGCAAGTATGGCCTACATTTGGTGGTTTCAGAGGGTGAATCTATATCTGGAACCCCAAAATGAACCCTTAATAGGAAGTTGGATCATATTTTGGTTGGTTGGTGGTCCAAAATGTAGGTCATTCAGGTTTTAGGGAGGTCAATATTTCATGAGTATATCCTATTCCCTGTAACAGCGGATGATGATGATGATGGTTGGTAAAGGCCGTATTCAACAAAAAGTGATAATTGTTGCAGGCAATGGGACACAACGACCAGTCCACATGGTCTTATTCCGGAACGCGGACTGGAACGACACATCGACCCACAAAAGCGATGTCGAACCTCCGAGGTTCAAGAGCCGGGGTTCGACAACGACTGACTGCAAAGATCTAGCTGATGAATCCAAAGCATCAACTGCCCTAGGAGTTGAACCACCATTGTTTAAATAGCCTTTAACGAACCACCATTGTTTTAGTAAGGGTTTTACACTACAAAATCAGATCAACCATTTTAAAAATGGTCTTTGACTTCCAGGGTAGTAGCAAGGACGCTATTAGTTCCACCTACTCTAAGACTCGAGAGCCCAAGTTCTCTAAGACTCCAGAGTCAACTTGAGGACTCCAGCTTTCGTTTTCACCTATAATCCAAAGCAAATGTGCGGGTCAACGCCCCAGCACGGTGTTCACCCCTCTTGGATTTCAGAATTTTTCACCTAGTTGCAATGGCCTCCAACCTACAAGCGATGGCCTCCATACACCTAGACCTGTCTCATTTTCCAGGTCTGCCACCATCTGCTGGCTGGCTGACTGGCCGCTCCTTGTGTGCAACACCTACACCTGTTGGCGCTGCTCTGGCCTTCGGCACCTCCTGGTCGGCACGTGCCCGTGCAAAACCTGGGGCAGCAGCCAGATCAGCGAACTGCAGCCAGCCAGTGAACAATTCCAAACTGAGAGAATCTCCAGATGCGATCCACCTTTTGGACCGAACTGAGAAAATCCATCAGTTCGAGCCAGCGCATCAGCGCCGAATCTCGCCTGGCTCGAAGCTCTCCCGCTCCCTGGGTGTGGGGACTGGTCCCGCAGGCCACGCGCCGTTCTCCGGGTCGTCGGCCCGGGGCAGCCCTGCCTCCAAGAAGCGTTTGGAAGGGAGGCAGTTCTTTACTTTCAATCTTCATTGAAGGGCACGGCAACCCAGGCTGACTTGGATAAGAAAAGCACCATTTACAACGGACTTTGATAGTTTCATGGCCTGATGCCAATCAGGTTTGACTGGATCACACAACAAGACCTTCACAACAGTCACACAGTCACATTCAAATCTTCGACATAGCTTTAGCCGGGAGGAGCTTCGACACATCGTCAACTTTGAAGGTTTTGAACCCCAAAAGGGTGCTGAAAGTTAGTGTGTAGATTCGGCAACAGGACATTGGTGTGCTCCTACGAAGAATCACACAGAGTTTATTGCAACATTGCAGGTCATTGTCTTACATGATAGGTAGTTGTTGAGCGAACACCATGAACACATTCTGACTGGCCATGTTCTTCTGTTTTTGTTCGCATGTTCCGCGTCCCTCTTTTCAACGCTGCGAGGTCCGGTCCTGCGGATTCTTCCACTTCTCCTGGGCCAATTCGCCCGCGAGCCGCGGCGCACCGGGGGTCTACACCCAAACGCATCACTCGGCTGCGATGTTGGGATCGAGATCGGGGTCTTCCGATGTTGGGATTGAACAACTGATCGAAGTGTTTCACGGGGTCAAAGACCGAGTCCTGGGTTTGTATCTCCTAGGCACCCAAAGTCCACAGGAAAAGTGGAAGATTCATCTCCAAAATCGTTTGGTATATCTTGAGTGGTATATCCCAGACACACCGGTTGCAGGCCTTGCATTTTTCCATGTGGATCCCGCCCGATTCCAGCCGTCGCAGCGTGATGCTGAGACCTTACTAACCCAAAGACTCAGTGGCAGGACCCTCAGTTCGCTAGGGTTTGGACCCTCACAGCCAGCGTTTAGGACTGAACCAACATGTATACGTTGGTTCGGGTCCAGGGTCGCCAATGCAAACGCACTGTGCAGTGGCATGTGTTTTTCACCTGGGTGGCCAAAGCAAAGCATCCGGATCTTCGGACCCCCGGTGGGGGCTGGTCCACATAATATGTCTTGCCATATCGATGTGCACATCGTCATGGTCACATCGATTGATGAAGCCTTTGGACTCTTGGAAAAGCGCGAGGTCATTGCTATTAGTAGGTTAGAGGCCATCAAACACACACCTCCTTGGAAGTCGCGTTCTCTGCTGAGCCAGGGCGGCCCTGCACCTTAAGGCTTTTTCTCCCAGAACCCCATAGGTTCAAGGCCCTTTTCGGATGACGGGACGGAGGTTCTTCGCACGAAACGACACCGGTTCCGGACATTGACATCCGGTCGCTGGAAGGAACAAAGACGCAGCACCGACTTGGAGCTTAGCATCCCACACTCCGTGCGCATTCTACATCCCAATATGGTTCCGACGTGGGCTAGGTTTTAGTTAAGGTCATCTTTGAGCCACGACCAGTAAGTCAGTGAAGGTGCACAGACCATCTTCCCCATCTGCCCTTGGAGAATGAATCCAAGACTGGCTAGAACTTTTTATCACGGGATCTTAAACTAAGCGTGACTCCATCGGTTGGTTGAAGTCCTTCAATCTCTGAAGTCTCTCCTCCAAACCAAACGTTTCGTCGAATGGATCAGTTTGAGTTTGGTTTTTTCAGCGAAGAGCTAGATGACATGGACCGAGATTTTGACCAAATCCAGCCACGGGGTGGTTTGGAACGCGGTAAACAGCCACCGAAGTGGGCCTCTAAACATGGCCCAGCGACCTCCTTGCGAGCTTGGTAGTAGTAGATCTTCAAGTCCTTCTCGCCGCAGAGGTGGCAAAAGTGGCATCGGGCTCCGAAGTGGCATCTCGAGTTCGGGCGCACCTTGTGAGTTGGGCCACGCATGCTACCGCGGTTGGTTGGTTGGTGAACCCAAGAGGACCGTCGTACACTCACCCGGTCGTAAGCGATTTCGAGTCTGACCACCTGCCGACCATGAAGTTGTCCTGCCGACCGAAGCTACGTGTCGTTTCGAAGCTTTTTATCGCTTTTTCAACGAGATATGTAGATGATGATGGACCGTGGCACCTTTTTGCTCGAAGATACCAAGCACCTTGACCAGATGGACCAGATCTTGGATACTGCACCCTGACCCTATGAGTATCTTGGATTCTCGTTTGGAACGAGTTCTTTCGTCTTTTTCGCCGTTTTTCCCGGGTCGATCGATCGGCTTCTGTGACGAAGCCGGTGGCGGGACGCCTGTGATGGTTTGGAGGGTTGGCACTTGCGTGAAACACACACAACACGTGCAAGTCCTGTTGAAAACGCTTGAATGTACTACATGTTGACGCCAGCAATCTTGTACCACTTTGGATTCCCCCGCCACGATGAAAACGAGTGGCTACGAGACTTCCCAGGGGGGGGTTGAGGAGAGCTCGTAACCAGGATCAAGGAGACATGTCGCCACCAGGATCAGGGTGTGTGGCCAGATCTGGGTCTTCCATGGCCCCTTTGCTGATTTGATGCGACGTCGACGTCTGAAGTGACGTGACATGGCTGTGGGTCATGGCACCGAGACACCTTAGTTTTTCCCACTGAACATGAACAGAATAGACTGCTAGCCCTCTGGGTTCAAGACTCTGGGGCTCACGCCTCACGGGGGCCGGGGCCTTTTGGTCGCACTCGCGTGCGACGGAAGGCGTCCACTGAGTTGGCTTCTTTTGCCGACACCTTTTTCCATTAGGACCCTTGTTCGCTTGCATCCATTAGATTTGCGCCATGGAACTTGAGTTCGATTGGAATTTGTTGGATGGATTTTGGAGGCTGCGTGCCTCATCCCTCCTTCAAGGTGTGTGCGATGGGCCCTCTTTGACCTGGGATCAATGTGAGATCATTTGTGGCACATTTTGGCATCAGACTGAGGACTGCTTTGATGTTTCGCTTTTTCCTTTCGTTCGGGGGAGAGGATTTTGCTTTGACGGACAAGCTGCCGAGACAAAGGTTGTTATCCATGATGCTGCAAAACGATCCCTCAACCTCTGTGCTGGGGATGGATGTGTTTTTGCTGGACCTTTGAGGTGTTTGGACAACGGAACCTGGGTTGGTGACAGCTCAGTGACCATCACCAAGCGAACTATGGTGGTTCCTCAGGATGCTATCGAGTGCTTCCACTTTTTCGCAGGAGCCTTTTCGGGATGGGGGCAGGCCTTCTCCACCCTTCCGTGGATTTGGCCCCATGTGACTGTGGGTATTCAGACCTTCACCGACATGGACCCGCAAGTGGTTGAAGCATTGGCATTGAAGCATGGCTCCAAGCAGGTGATTGCACCCCTGCAAGCTAGCCAAGTTTTTTTTTCACCATGAACCGAGTCATCCAAGCTGACATTGCGGATGTTTCCATCCAGCATGCTGTACAGCCTTTTTCGAACATGGTGTACACTGCTTCTCCCCCGTGCGTTTCATGGAGTAAAGGGGGCTTAGGCAAAGGCCTCAATAGCCCTGAGGGTTGGTCCTTTGTGGACCTCGTTCACCAATGTGCACGAGGACAACCGATCTTCCTTGCAGTAGAATGTGTTGACGAGTTGCCTCGACACCCGCATTTTAAGTTCATCCATTCGTTGCTTCATTGCATCGGATATGTCAGCCTTTGGGAGGATGTCTCTCACTATCATCCTTTTGCCCACATGGTTCGCTCCCGGTGGCTTGCTGTGTTCCTTCGCAAAGACTTGCACAGTGAAGAGGCTAAGCCGAATCCAACACTTAGGGCACTGCATATTGATCGATGGACTTCGGAATGCTTTAGGTTCGACATTCCACGCAGCTTGGCCTCTAGGCTTCTGATCCCTCACAATGTCAGGTCAGCCTATGCCCAGCATTCGTTGTTGCCTCCAGCCAAGAGAGCCAAAATCGACTCGAATGCTTCAGCTGAGGTCATCCTACAGATGCGATTCCTTCGCCCTCATGAACCAGTCCCTACGGTTTTGCGCTTCCTATGGCTTTCAGCACTTGCTGCCTATGCATCTTTTGGAGCAGAAAGGCATCTTTGCTACCCTCAAGGATGGTGACTTTGGCCCTGAATTTCTGGATCCAGCCATGCTGGCGGCTATGTTGGGCCTCTTTGAGACGACGGTTTTGGCCAAGCAACTGCAACTTCTTTATAGGCAGATTGGGAATGCTATTGCTACGCCTCATGCACTCCTCGTACTTCTGACAGGGCTCAGCCAGGTGTTCCAATGGAGGATCAATGTCAATGAGGCCATCACCATGGTTTGGCAGAAACGCATTGTGGGACCGAAGGCCATCATCATCGAGCAGGGTGACTTCTACATCTTTGCGAGGGTGGGAGACATCATCGAGCAGATCAACATTCACAACGAGGTTATCTCAGGTGCAAACCACCTATGCCTCCGATGCTGTCATGTCAATGGTAGAACAAGTGAGCTGCTCGTCCCACCTCAGTGGCAATATGTTGACCTTTTGAGATGTTTCTCCTGGAAGTTCAATCTCGCTACGCGCATTTACTTTGCTGCGACCGGCGAAAAGCTGCAACCGTCACAACGCCTTGATGACCTCTTTGCTCAGTGTGGTACTTGGACTCTCTTCATCAAGGGCTACCCCATTGTGCACCTGTCGCTCCTTGGCACCCATGAATCTTCTGATGCCACCCAAAGTTGGCCTGGTGTTGACACTCTTCAGCTGCCTCCAGCTATTCAGAGTCCACCTTGCAGCCTTCGACTGACTCCAGATGATGAACTCCTTGAAGATCGACACTTCCATTTTGCCCTCTCCTACTTGGAGCGCCATTGCCTTGCTACCTGTGCGTTTGGTCTTCCAACCTTCACGATTGCCTTTGGGTCACTTCCTTGCACGATCACTCTCCATGGGTTTCCCAACTCAGCCGATCGACTGCATTGCCTTCGTGACTTCTGGAGCCACCTTGACCAAGGATTGAATCAGCATGCTTTCAAGATTCTTGAGCCCGCTGACGGCGCTGATCATGGCCCATTTGGCGTCATCTTCCACAAGCACACTGAAGACAAGCTGGTGCTCATCCGCTTTGGCTTGGAGCAGGCTCTTTGTGGATTCTATGTTCCATCTTGGATCCACACTCGCGCTTTCCAGGTTGGCTCGTGGAACTATCGACTCAACACTCACAATGGCCATGATATTGAGCAATTACCACTCAGCCTTGAACATGGAGATTTCCTCCACCTTTCGCTGCAGAATGAGATTCACTGTGGAGGTCACCATGGTACCAGGACTACCACGCTTCCAGCAGGAGCCAACCTTCTCCAGCGGGCAGAATTTGCGAGCAATACCGGAGGCTGGCTTGCGTCTGATGAGATGGCATTTTTCTTGAGGCAGTTGACATGGCTCTCTCCTGAATTTGCGATTTTTCATCCTGCTGTCCGATGGAACCTTGAGACAGCCAACCTTGATGAAAATGACTACCAGGAGCTCCTGATTGCCAACAATCGGCTCAATATACTTCCTATCCTCTCGGGGTCCCACTGGCTTGCTTTTGAGATCCAACGTGATGGTGCAGCGACCCATGTCACCTTCGTTGGCCTTCCTGGACCTTTGCTCAGAAGTGGCCTACAGGTTGTTGCTCGCTTGCTTGATGTCAGCCCGGACCGACTTCAGTATAGCCATGTCCCTCTCGATGATGCTACTCACTTTTGTGGTTGGGCTCTCCTTCACAGATGGGCTACCGCTGCTGGAGTCTTTGAGCAACTTCCTCTCAACAATGATCTATATGCGTCCACCTCTATCGCTGCTCGTGCGCTGATTGATGATGTTATCGAGGACTCTATTGAGGATTGGAATCAGAGTGGCATTGCTCATGGTCTCTGGTACTTTGCTGCTACCTTGCGGCGAGCTTTCTTCAGCTTCTTGGCCACCACCACAATTCGAGGCAACGCTGTGACACAGGACTCATTCACCGTCACGTTTGATGATGTGCATGCTGCTCTCGAGCAGCCTGAGACACCGTCCATCCATATTGATAGCCCTGACAGCCATTTGCATCACCGCATTCAGCACTTCAACCACTACCCTGGTTGGATGGGCTCTGATGAACTTGAATTCATCTTGCAAGCTGTCTGATTCCAACGGCCACAGACCTGCTTCATGCCGCCAGCAAGATGGGACCACACTACTGGTCACTTCGTCTACTTCGATGACCACTGGCGAGACTTTAGAGCCTACCAGAATGTCACCTGGTTCCTTCTGGTCGACCAATGTTGGACTCAGATTGATGCTACCCTCGCTGTCAATACCATTGCTCTCCACATGAGTTTGCCAGATGCCTTGGCCCATTTGGCTGGACCGATTGCTACCTTTGTCATGACACAGATTGACGAGGCCCAGCTCGCTTGCCAAGTGCACATTGTCAGGTGCAACCCTGAGCCCAACATGTGCGGATGGGTTCTCCTGCATTCGCTCTGTGAAAGACTGCGTATTGCGATTCCTCCTCTGGCCAATGAAGTGCAACATACGATCAATCTTTCCAGGTTTCGAGTGCAGATCAGAAGCACTATTGAACGGGCTCGAATGGTCTGGCAGCTCTCGTCCTCCTTCCCGCGCATCATCAACTTTGCTAGCCTCGTGCGGACCAACTTTCTGCACCACCTTTTGGCTGACAGAGGTGCGCTCCAGTATGCGGCGGGTGGAGGTACTGAGAAAGGCGATCCTCTCACCAAGGCTGCAGGCAACTCGGGCAAAGTTGATGTGCTCCAAATTGATGACCCATGGGCCTCCAAATCCGCCAAGGCCAAGCCCCCGAAGAAGCTCTTTCAGACAAGATGGGAAGACCTCACTATGCCCAGTGACCATCCTCTACTTGATGAAAAAGGAAACGCTGTGCCTCAGGTCCATCGTTTGCA